GGCCGGAGTGTGCGTGCGGGCCTGCCGAGGGGCCCGCCGGGCTCAGGGCGGCGGGCCAGCGGTGGCTTTCTTCCATCCATACTGCAACGCCGGAGGAGGCGGGGAGCGGGTCCTGTGGTGCTCCCTGAGGGCCCTCATGCATCGGTACGGGAGGTTCTGCTGTCTCCATTTTGTCTGTCTTATGAATCGAAAGCAAAACTCGAGGCACGGTGCCGGTTTGTCCCGGATGATCGCGCTTTCATGCCGCAACCTGAAGCCACGTCAAGTTGTCGCACATCAACAGAATAACACATGTTGTCCGATGGAACGGTGAACGGCAAATGTGGGCACCAGATCCTCCCAGTAGCCCGTAGCTTTTGATCGCAAATCAGAAGCATTTGTTGTCAACAGGTGCCTGTTAGTTTATAACAAAAAGCATCACATTTTATAAGCTCTTCACTTGTTTTTATGCACCAATCTCCATGAGGAATGAAATGCTGACAGTTTGGAACTTTTGCTTGAGAAATTATGGTAATGGTTCCTAATAGCTCGTTATTTTTATGCTCACTGTCTGTTTCAGCTCTAAAATCTGGTTATAAGTATTAATTCTAAAGTAAAAGACATAGTCACACATCTAGAGTAGGATATGAAATAGGAGAAATCACATATCAGGTATTTTTGGTCTGTAGGTGAGACAAGAGCTGCTCTTATTAAACTGCATAATGTCCCACTGTGGCTGAAGTTTTTGGACCTGAACCAGAAGCACTGCCTGAATAAAACTTAACAGACCTAGTCTGAATCACTGAAACAGACTGCTTTGTGTTCATCCCAGATACCCTGGCATGTCCTTCGTGGTTTACACAGGCGATCATGGAGTGACTGGAGAGCATATTCTGGAGGGAGCCCAGCAGCGTTTCAACATCACACTGCCTCGACCCGTCACCTTCATCTTCCTGCATCACCGCGTGCTGGTGGAGGCCAAGTCGTACCCTCACTTCACCTTGCTGGGCCAGAGCACAGGCTCCATGTTTCTTGGTAAGGCCGGGTCACCCCCATCCTCAGTTTGCTTTGGTAGGGCCTGACACCAGTGAGGTCAGGGCAGGTCTTGCATCTAATAATATAATTTTTTCAGGTATTGGGAGACCTTATAGATTTATAGAGAGTCAAAGTGAAAGTCAAAGCTTTAAATACAGTCCCAGAAGTTAGAAGGGTCCATTTTAAAACCAACTGACATTTGTGACAATGTTAATAACTACAAACCCAGCCTTGGATTATATGGAACGACGTATGACATTTTTATATGACAGAACCGTAAATTCACTTACATTTCAAGTGTTTTGGAGCTTTAATTCATTTTTTGTTCCTCTTCATCATCTTCCAAGAAACGGGGGTCATGTAAGAGAGGGCCTGTGTGTGTGTGTTTTAGGTTGGGAGGCTCTTACGGCCTTTGTTCCTGACCTGTACGTGGACTCCATGGGCTACGCCTTCACCCTGCCAATCTTCCGCTACCTGGGAGGCTGTAAAGTGGCGAGCTATGTTCACTATCCCACCGTCAGTACCGACATGCTGTCTGTGGTCAGAGAGGGGACCCCCAGGTAACACCACCCACTCACACCTGTCAGTCAAAACAGGGGACTTTAAAAACCTGGGACTTACTGATGGTTTCAGCCTCTGTCACCACCATAGAAGAGCTAGCAGACAGGTTTTATACACCATTTAGTAAAGAAGCTTAGATTTTAAATACATCAGTTTCCTGTATATGAACAATCAAGTACGTGTGCCCAGCATCGGGGAGTGTCATAACAGCTCATACTGTATGCTGACATTCAGAACTAGGAGAACAAGGTTTTTAAATGTAACCAGTTTAGCACAGACATACCTTGTGTCCTCCAGGTTCAACAATGCCAACTTCATCTCCAGGAACCCAGTGCTGAGTGCAGTGAAGGTGGTGTACTACTGCTGCTTCGCGCTGCTCTATGGCCTGGCCGGCTCCTGCAGTGATGTCATCATGGTGAACTCCACCTGGACGCTGGGACACATCCTGGCTCTGTGGCGCTCCCCGAGCCGCACCAGCATTGTCTACCCGCCCTGCAATGTCGGGGCCTTCCTGGACATCCCGCTGGAGGAGGACGATGGAAATGAGATGGAGGACGGCTGGGAGGAGCTTGGGCAGGAGTTGGGGAGAGGAGAGGATGAGAAAGGAGGAGGCAGAGAGGACAGCAAGTGCCACTCCATCGTGTCAGTGGGTCAGTTCAGACCCGAGAAAGACCATGGACTGCAGATTCGGGCATTCCGCAAACTCTTGGACAGGAAAGGGGAGGGGCCTGCGGGGCGGGAGTCCTGTCGGTTGGTGCTGATTGGTGGATGCAGGAACCAGGAGGATGAGGAGAGGGTGTTGATGCTGCGGGGGCTTTGTCAGGAGATGGGGTTGTCAGACAAGGTTGACTTCAAACTCAACATCCCCTTTGAGGAGCTGAGGAGAGAGCTGGTGGACGCCACCATCGGTCTGCACACCATGTGGAATGAACACTTTGGCATAGGTGGGGACAACACACACACAGTCACCTGTAGTGTGTTTATATAACTGTACAGGTATTTTCTCCATTTACCACTGTGGAGATAACTGTAACACTCACTGCTGCAGTCGTTTGGCTGTATAAAGTGATACTAACCTCATATGTAAACTGTTGTATTTGTGAAACAACACAGTGCCATTACCAGAACAAAGTGTGGCTCATCTTTAAGAGGAAACAGCTGTTTTCAGTGCAGAGACAGTTGCTTTCTGTCCACCATGTTGGCCTTTCATGAAGTATCTACTAGGGATGGGTGTTTCAAGCTCAAATACTATTTGATATTTGCTGGAAACTATTCAGCAATCCGTCTCCTCTCTGTCTGTCTCAGGAGTGGTGGAGTGCATGGCTGCAGGCACCATCATTCTCGCCCACAAGTCCGGGGGTCCGAAGCTGGACATCGTGGTGCCGTATGAGGGTGGACAGACAGGCTTCCTGGCTGACAGTGAGGACAGCTATGCCGCTGCCATGGAAACCATCCTGGCACTGTCACCATCGGCTAGACTGGAGATCAGGCAAAATGCTCGGCGCTCTGTGGAGCGATTCTCCGACCAGGAGTTTGGGGTTTCTTTCCTTGCTGCCATGGAGTCTCTGATGACAAAACTGGAGTGATGAGGAAGAACAGGCCTGGTGTCCAGCAGGGACCAGGACTTTATTAGTCATGTGTTTTTTAATTAGTGCTATGCAGAGGGTCATATCTGTGATTAATATAAGCTAAGTTTTCAGTGCTAGTTAAGTGTGACATGGCGCCTCACTCCCAATTAAAAACAATACTGAAACAAGCTGGCGTAGTCAAGACAGGTCCCTGGTGGAGACCCAGAGCTAGAACAGCCCTGAACCTCTGCCTTAGCAGAGGGCATTTTCAGTGACTCTGCATGTGTCCAGCTCACATCAGGTGTTATATTAGTTTTTACACTGGAAGCACGACGATCAAACAGATGCAGACACAGAGGATCAGCCAAGATGAGGTTTTGTACAACATGGAGACCTGTTAACAGATCGTTAATGCCACAGTGGAGTTTTATATTCAGCTTAGAAAGGCAGACCATGCACTTTAAGTAGTTGAACATAAAAGTCATGTGGGATTTATCATTAAGTCCGTTCAGCCGGTCTAATCTGCTGAGGTGACGCTGTCTGGGTACCAGCTCATCAGACAGCTGGAGGGTGATTTTGGGAAATCTTAGATAAGAATAATATGATCACTTTCAAAACTCTGGTCCAAGTTCTGTTGTGTCTGGCTGACAGTAGAAGTAAGTGCCAGCCTTCATAAAGAGAGCAAAGGTTTCCAGAACTGTCTGATTTACATTTTGCATCTCCTCAGTGAGCAAGAAAAAAAAAGACAAATGCATCCAGGAACCACCTGGGTTTTGTTGAGAGGTGAGTACTGGACTCCATGCAGCCTGGCCCATCAGTAGCTGTACAAGAAACATCTCCAGTTACTGGGCTCGTTGCTTGTGGTACTTCTGTTTCTGAGTGTGTTAAAAGCAGCTAGGACATGGACACACTGCACATGAACGATACTGTTGCATGCAGCTCTTTGATCACAAGTTGAACATATCGCCTTAAACGGTGATGATCTGTCAGTGCTGTGTTCACTACCTGTAAATCAGACAGCTGCTGTCAAAGTTCTTTGTTCTTTACAGAGTTAGGCTAGCGGGTTTTCCCCCAGCCTTCAGCCACCGTGCTAAGCTAAACACACGCTGAATATTTACCAAAATGTGCTCCCTCAAAGCATTTATTACACTGCGAAGAGAATTTTCTTTTAGAGCTACATTCCCTGCTAGGGAACAGCTTCTCATTTGAAGCCACTTTGAGTCAGTTAAAATATGAAATACTTGAAGCTTAATATAAGATAAATTGTTGCTCTGTTGGTCTATATTAAATTGAATATTTTGGGGTTTTAGCCTGCTGGTCAGACAACATGAGACGCTTTATGATCAGTGTTTCTTTTCTCTGATGTTTTATAAACTAAACAATTAATTTAGATAAGTGGATTAATTGCTAATGAACACAATCATTAGTTGCAGTCCTCGAGTGGAAGTGACATATGGAGTTCATACTGATGTGACTTTCTAGTTTTGGTTTCCTGTTTGAAATGTTTTCCTGTGTCAAAGAAGTTCACTGAAGACTTGTCACTTGATGATTTCTGTCTACTTTGAAGAAGCATGTGTTGGCAATGGCCAAATCTTTCCTATTTAAATGTTGTTTCACTTCCTTCGTTCTTGTTTGTGACGAGGTACAGGCATGGAGATCAAATAGCAATTATTAAGAGAATCTTTATTTTGAAAGAGGCTTATTTACTATGTAGAGAGATGCTGGGAGTTTGTTTCACTGAGAAAATGAAATTCACCTTAAACAATACTGCAGTAAATACACCCATCATGTTACATGCCTACTGTGTGCTGCTCTGGAGTTATTATTGTATCAGACTGTCAGTGAAGATTTGACTGAATTTAGTTGAACGACCTCCCACCTGCTGCCGCCTTATTGTCCAACTCACTCAGAATGAAGACTTGCATGTTTGCCAGCGCTCAGGTCATCTGATGCTGTTTATTTAAAGACGTGTCATCATCTGTGTGGGACTCTCCTGGACGCTCAGACCGATAGTCACATTGTTCAGGCTCAGAGGAAACAGCCGCAGCTGGGGAATCCTCCACCTCTGGTTGGATTTGTTGATGGTCAGCAGACCTCACTGCACCTCCCCGCCCCCCACTGCTGCACTGTCCTCCGGAATTCCTGCCTCGTCTGAGCTCCCATCCTTCGTGACAAACAGGTTTTTCTCTTCTCTGAGCTCGTCCTCCGACTCCTCAAAGTTCCTGATGAGAATGGAGAAAATTTAAATTGTTTCATGAAGATTTAGAGTTTTGTCTGATGAAACATGATCAGTCATTTAAGTGATTAGTCAGCAGAAAATTAAACTATTTTAGTCTAAATTTGTGATTTTCAAATGTCAGTAAACAGTAAATAAGTTTTAGACTGTTGCTTAGACAAAACATTAGTAGATGTCACTGTGGGCTGTTGGAAATTATTAGATGTTTTTCACAATTCTGAGTGTTTTTAAACAGAAATAATTGATTAATTTAAAATAAAAATAATATTGGCTTTGTTTGGTCTTTAAAACATAAAAAGGATCCAACAAACACTCATAGATATAAAATGTATTGTAGGGCCAAAAGGGCAGAAACTTCTCACATGTAAGAACCTGAAATCATCAAATTAACCTTCAAAAATTAAACCATCATTCAGTTATCAATAACAAAGAGTACAGAGTGAAGCGACCAGAGCGTTGACTTACGTGTCGTCATCGTCTGACCTCGGCCTCCCTACCTGGTCTTCCTCCTCCTCCTCCTCCTCGGTCTGATCTTGCTCCCCCTCCTCCATCTCCATCTCCATCTCCACCTCTTCCTCTTCCTCCTCCGCTCTGTCCTGCTCTGGCTCTGAATCTGTCAGTGCAGACACTTTAGCGTGAGCCCAGTCGAGGTCTGTTCCAGTCTAACTAAATGCATCACTGTTTTATTTTACAGTAAAAGTCCAAACTGGCTGCCAGTTCGTTCTGCAGCAGTGTGTGGGCGTTGTCTGACCTGCAGGCACTGAGTCCAGAGTTGACGATATGAGTTCAGCCTGAGCCAAAGCATCCAGCAGGGTGTTTGGGGGGCCATCAACCCACTGTTTGCGACCTGCAGCTGCCTCGTCTAAGGGCGCACGGGGACAGGCCACATACACATGTCATACTGTGCTACAACAATCCATCTGTTCTCAACAGATCTCTGACAACAATTGTTGAGTTGTTGTCAAATGTTGTCGTCATGCAGAAGGGTCAGAGGTGTCACTGTCATCATAAACTACCAGAACTCTCACTTCCTGTCTGGCACTACCACTCTGCATCGGTGTAATAAAATAGACCGTGGGCAATTCTGAGTTAAATGTGCAATAACAGAACTAACAACAGATGACAAACCTTTCTTCACCTTCACTCAGTTGTGTTACAGGTGTAGCGCACCTTGTTCAGCCTCGACCACGGTGTTGTAGATGGAGTTGACGTCCATGTTGGCGAGTGCTTCCAGCAGAGTCTGAGGGCTCCTCTGCCTCAACCCCTTCCTCAGCTGTGACCAGTCCTGGAGCTTCAACTCCTCCCCCTCCTGGAAGCTCAGCGTCTGGTTCAAAGGATGTGGGTCCTGTTCAGGGAGGCAGGGATAGAGTGAGAGAAAGAAAAGAGAAAATGTGAAAAGGCATCGTCTTCCATCCATTACTCACCTCCTCTTCTTCTTTTCTTCTCTCCTCTTTCTCCTTTCCTGTGTCTTCTTTCATCCCATTGTCATCTAACCAGATCTCAAACATGATTCCCTTCTGCGGAAGTGACAAAAACATACGTATACTGTAAAGGACAGTCACACTTTCATCTTTTTTCAGGATTGTACTATTTTTATTTCCTACATCAGGTGGTTCATGATGCATTCAGACCTGTCTGTAAAATAACACAACCACATGTAGGTGACACATTAGTCGAAATTGTCTTTAGTAACTAAGGACAAACAGTTTGGCAGCTTAGGGCCTACAATGGGCTGCAGACCTTTAGTTCACACGTCACAGGAGGAAAACACAAAGTGTGACGAGGCCAAAGTCAGCAGGTGAGACCAGGTGTGCCAACAACCGGGGGCTTATTTTTTAGCAAGGAAATGTTGAAGGAAATCGTGTCATCTGCATTATCAATATATCCTTCCATCCATGTATCCTGGAGAGCGTTGTGGGAGCGCTGGAGCCAATCCCAGCTGACACTGGGCACCAGGCAGGGTACACTACCACAGGGCTGACACTTAGATACCGTCATCCATTTACACTCACGTTCACACAGAGGTCACCAGTCAGCCTGTGTGTCTTCAGACTGGGGGACGAAGTGCCCAGAGGAAAGGCACAGGGAGAACATGCAAACTCAGCAACAAATGATAGAAGCAGACTAAATCATAACTCTCATGTAAAGACACAGCTTCTCAATGTGCACTTGGTCTAATCTCACCTTGTCTTTGTGTTTTCTCTCCAGCACTCTCCTCTGATCTCTGGTGTCCTCTCTGATTTGCCTCAGGGCTGCTTCGACGTCCTGCAGCAGGA